TACTTTCCTCACGATACCTGCGAGATCCCACTTCACAATCTCACACTAGTACACATATATAAATTATGTGAACCAAATTATAAAGTGATGACAGTACCAAGTACATATGCCACCGACCAGCCAGTCCAGAGACAGACTGGAGTCAAACTCAACAGGGTCTTCTTTCCCCGCTTAGCCCTTCAAGTCCGTTCCCTTGCCTGTCGTTTCGCTAGATAGTAACTCGGGACAGAAGGAATCTTAATGTTCCATTCATGTGTGCACCCAATCGCGCCACAGGACATCGGGCCAGCGTAAAGGAGCCACACTTCCACTCCAGTCGCTCACACACATGTTGGTGGTCATCGCCCCGTTGACATTCAATGCACCCCACAGAGGCCGCATTGGAGTGGTCCAGCAACACAACGGTATCCTTCCCACTCACATTGCACACACTCACACACAATGACAGTGTCACATGCTCATATCAGAGAGGCACTGCGGCATTCCCCAAAATGTACACCAAGTCACACACCTACAGAGAGGAAAAGAAAAACAAAAGAAAAGAACAACAACAGGATACCAACAGCACACAAAGCACCCACAATACAATAATCACAGCTGACACCCCCATCAGAGAAAAACACTCACCCACACCAGCACATCAACTCAACTCCAAAATAATAACAGACCCATTACGTGAAGCCGAAGCGGACCAGTCTCAGTCCCTCCCCGCAGGCTGCAGTCACTCAAACAAACCACACAACAAACAACACTCACCACAAGAGTAGAAATATGTTCCTGACAAAGCCGTGAGTGACACCACCGAGAGAGAAGGTGAGAACAAAGAAATGTGTTTTCATTACGTGGGCGGTGTGAGTGGCAACCCAAACACACAAAGGAACACACAACAGAGGGGCACACTCAAACACCTACAACCCACCAATCTTTATACCAAAATAAAAGTGTAAAGAAAAAGAGTGACTGCATGAGGCAGACACAATAATAGAGCAAAGATGCAAAAAGAAAAAAAAGAAATTCATTACTTACTGTGGCTGGGATGCCTGGACACAGTTCAGTCCACCCCAAGGTTAATAACGGAAAATCATTGTGTACTGAACGCGCAGTGCCCATATCTTTATTCTTGATGTCCGTGCAGCAGTTTGTATATAATGAAAAAAAGAATCATTCCATAAAAATGAACACACAAGATACACAAGGTGTATTGGAAACGCAAAAGAGAGAACACACAGCTGCACATAATGTGCAATGAAAATATAATGAAACACACACACAAGGGAAAAAACAATATAACCAAAACAAAAGAAGAAAGCTGTGACCACCATGTGAATATGTTCAGGAGGCAATAACACAATTCCCAGCAGTAGGTGTGTGTGTCTTTCGTACAGGGCGAGCAGTGGGAATGATGCACACATGATGACAGTCCACACACACACAAAGAGAAGGAAGGTTGGTAGTGTGCGTGTTTGTGTGTCTTGAACCTCCTGCCATTCTTCACATTTCAGTCACAGCAATTACAACGCATCGGGATTGTATCTCATTCCCATGGGTAAAAGCAATAGAGTTATTAATATCACGGAACACACACACATCACCACTGGGACACAGTGAATGGTGCAAAACAGTGCCCAGATAATAATGCCAACAAAGAAAGAGGACACTCCTCACAAAATGATGGTTTGTCATGTGTTGAGTGTCATAGGGAATCCAATAGATGTGCTCAGTAAAAAAAAATGCAAACAAAAGATTTATCGAACTGAAAAAAAAACCTGATATACAACCAAAAAGAACAGTGCCCTTACAATGTATCCATATCCACACAAACAAAGGTTAACTGTGCAACTGTGTCATGGGAACACCGATCAGCACACGAAAGTGCAACCCAATACACACAGCACAAGAAGCAACAATGGACTGTGCACCAATGCAGGACTGACAGCTCCATCCCTCTTTTTTTTTGCGGCCGCCTTCGCCTTCTCGGCATCCCGTAGGGCCTTTTCTTCTACCGCCCTTTTCGCTTCTTCCTCCGCATCCCTTTTCGCTTGTTCGTCTCTTTCCTTCTTGGCCTGTTCCTCCCTTTTCTTTCTCTCCTGTTCTTCCTTTATTCTTTGCGCCTCTGCTTCTGCAGCTGCCGCTTGTTTTTGTCGTTCTTCCTCCTGTCTCCTTCGTTCTTCCTTCTCCCTCCTTGCCGCTTCTTCTTTCTCCTTTTGGATCTTTACCTTCTCCTCTGCCAAAAGATTGTCCTCCTTGTCAATTTCATCGTATATCGTTTTGTTGATCTTCCCAACAGCCACCGTCTTTTTGTTTTCCGCGATTTCATTATTTTTGTCCGTGAGATTATCAATCTCTTCTTTCGGTCCCTTGACAGTCTCCTTTATCTTTTCAAGTCCATCTCCTTTCTCCACCACATATTCTTTATTACTCGCAAGCGCCTCCCCGTCCTTCACTTTGGCTTGCGTCTCCTTATCCAGTTTATTGTACGCCTCGACCATTTGTGCAAATAGTTCAAACTTCTCCATCGCACTTTTCCAGTCTTTCACCTGATCTTCTGCTTTGCCCAAAATAATTCTCTCAAAAACGGTTACGTTACTCATTAGAGCCGTGACGTTCTTCATTGTGTCGTGTACCGCCTTGCCTGCATCCCTCACCCTCACGGCCATCTCACACTTATCATAGTCGTTCTGCGGAAAAGCAATCAAACCGTTCAAACTGTTGTTGAGGGACCCCAAAACATCGTCCACGTTAATACGCACAACCCTACATACTTCCCTTGTGTGATTCGCCTGGGCAATTGCCACCACCATCTGTTCGTCAGGTCCCTTGCCCTTTGCCTTCTCGAGTGCCTCCGGTATCTCCTTTAACAGATTCTCGAACTCTTCCTTTTGTTTATCATCCTTTAGGAATATTACTTTCATCTCCTTTCCTGTTCCCTTACCGTCTTCCACCAACCTCTTTTCGGTAATTTTATCGATCCTTTGGGTAAGCTTTTTTATTTTTTCGGTGGCTTCCTCGGCCTTCTCCACCGTTTTCTCACTTTCTTCAACCACCTTATCCAACGCTTTCAAACAAGCCACCCCTTTCGAATATTGGGTCGACAAACCTTTAATATCCACCATAACCTTCGCCACTGCTTGTCTGAAATCGCGGTTATTATTTTCCTTCAGATACTTATCGTTATTGATTTCCTCTGTTGTGTACGTTGGAATGTCCACCACCGTCCTTCTTGCTTTCACTGCGTCTAACGTTGCTACCTCAGTCTCGTTTCCTTCCTCCTGGCTTGGCTCCGCCCCCTCAACTTTGGTTCCACTTTTCCCATATGCCGCACACACACAACATTGCAAAAGCACCAACAGGTACACCACACGACGCAGTTGGACGAACATCGTTGTCATGATTGTCACTGTGGGTTGCTTGGGTCTATGGTAACAAGGAAGAAGAAGAGAAAGAGAAAAGAGATGCACATTTAACACACAAGGCAGACAGTACACAGAAAGAGAGAGAGAGAGAGAGAGAGAGAGAGAAAGAGAATACACATCACAACAGCAATCAAACACAACCCAATAAGGGGAACAACAGTAAACCACCCACACAATAAAACACACCCAGAGTTACACAGATATTGAAACAACACCTCGAAGTTAGAAGAAGTGGAAAACAAATGGTATCAAAACAAAATTAAATAAACGTCTACTACACACACTCCAATATCTTACTCGGCATTCATACACAAACAAAGTGTGTCTGTATTCTCATTATAATAAAACCATTACCAGGCAGTTCGAACACCAAAGCATGCCGAAGAACACAGTGTCCACCTGGCAACATACAGTAACAACACCACAAATCATCAGCAAAACAAAGAGACTGTACAATAATCAACACACTTCCAAACAGAAAAAAAAAAAAGAAACCAATGCATCACCATAATATTTATACCAACACCACAATTGGAATCTATAAACCCACTCACCCACAACCATAAACAAAAATGACTGCATACATCACTGTAATACCATGCCACTCTTTACAAACAGAACCAACACACAATTACTCTCTTACACACATATTACCTCTTTATTTATCCTTATTACTATTATTTTAACTTTCCTCACAATGCCAATTCACCTCTTCTTCTCCCACAGCATTATCAGCAAATCAAAAAATGAACATCCACCTAAACAAACACGTCCTTTTCTCCATGGTGTGAATTATGAGGGTAATATCAAACATATCCCCCACACCACACTACCACGTTTTTCTTTCTTTTCTTCGTGGCTTTATGGATATTACTCAAATGGAACGGGCCATCAAGGGTAATACATAAATATACATAAATACAATTTGTTTTTATATTATTTTTTTTTACTACCGTTGGGCATGGGGAGTACGCATTGGTAATGAAATTACAATGGATCTCGTAGGTGGCAAAACATGTATTTGTTTCGCCTCTCTGAGTCCCTTCAGCGGCCAAATCTAATTTCCACCACTGGAGGGCATAATTGTTACTATCTCTAAAGTCCCTTCCACGCTTTTTTTTTTTTAGCGGCATTCACACCAAAGTGAAATATAAAAAAGAAACTGCTGCTGATGGCACACTGATTCGCGTCCCAGGACCTTCTTGCATAACGTTTTCTCTCAGTACGACTCTGCTGATCCCGGTGCTGTATGACGTTTGTAGCTTATGAAACCGTAAACTCTCAAGAAGAGAATTTACTGACCCATGGCTTTCCTCAAAAAAATAAGGGATAATGGGCATTGGTTCCAACTTTCGATGGCCAAACGCCACCAAGGGAATGCCATTCCCAAGAACGCATGTATTGAAAAGAAAAATAAAAAGAATTTGGTTTTTAAGCAGACCACTCACTTCAAAAATTTAGTGACTAAGTTTAATTTCTTTGAATAAATTCATCTACTCCACCTTGACGCCATATGGAGGCAGCCCTCAATCCTAAGGGCATCTTGGTCTAAAACCCACCCCCCAAGACGACCACCCCAACCCACCCCATGGGAGGCAGAGGCCCACAGCCAGAGCGCAACACGCGGTGCCGCAAACAAAAGCGCAACCACCACCAGCACATGAGGAAAACACAAATCACGACGGCAGAAAACCAGATGGCGCGCCTGGCGCCCCCCAAAAAATACGGGGGTGGGGGTCCGACCCCGCCACACGGACAAGGCCGGGACGGCCCGGGACACCACCTAACCCCACCAAGGCGGAGCAGCACAACGACACAGAGGCTACGAACGACCAAAAGAAGAATAACAACTAGTAGAACGCCAAAATAGCAGAGGCGCAACTATTGTAGAGGCCGCCTGCTTCGACCAGAAAACTGCCACCCCACCCCGGCGCCACCAGCCGGCCAAAGTTGTGACAGACGGCGGCGGCGACGCCACCAGGCCGGCACAACCCAAAACACCGGAACAACCCAACACCTACAAGGGTTAGCTTGTGTGCGAAAATGCGCCCCAATACCACCGCAACGAGGCTCAGTAGAGCACAGGGGCGGGAAACGCGCGGCGCTCGCAAAACTGAAAATTCACCCCTGGGGGTGGGGCTGGGAAGGGCGCCCCGGGGAGCATAATATGTTCTTTTGCGGGTATTTCGGGTACGACCATACTTGGCCGAATGCGCCATATCCCGTCCGATTTGTGAAGTTAAGCGGCCACAGGCCTCGTTAGTACGGCGATCCGTTGTGGCGCTGGAACCCGGGGTGCCGTACCCTCCTCAATTTTTTTTTTCGCCAACATCACCGGGTAGGTGCCGTGGACCTCTGAAGTGAATCACGGCGCGCCTTTGGCAATGGGGGCTGCCCAATCGCGGCGCCCAGCATATCCACTTCCACCCCTTCAGGGAAGCCAAACATACCTCACACATTGTTGCGGTGGAGCGCCAACAAACCAAAATACCTATGGGGCGAAATGTTCTTATTGTGCTTAGTTTTCCTTTTCTGCATTTCCCATGGATTTCCTTTCCACACCACACATGGCAGCAGCGGAACGCCTTAACATCACCATAGCGGAATTTGCCTTTATCATAGGGTGTGGTGAATCCTTCCCTTTGTTCTTTTTGTTCATGGTGTGGGCCATCCAACAGCACCCCTTATTCGGTGGCACGCGGCACCATGTCACGAGGGGAACGGGGAAGGGTCATCTTTGCGGAATGCCTTTCAAACCCATCTTACTCAGCGTTGAAGTAGGGAAAGAAAGAGTTTTCCACTATTCCCAACCCCACTCATTTTATAAGTGAAACACCCCCGGGAGCTACCCCATCACCCCTCTTCTTCTTGTTACGCACAAGACGCTGACAAGTTGGCCGCCCGCCTTGGGTTGTGGGGGTTGTGTTCTCTCCTCTCCCTTCTTGGGGTGAGGGATAAAAAAAAAAAAGAAAAGAGCAAAACCCGACAACGAGCCTCGAGCATTGCGCACGTAGACTGGTTGCCGGGTTTCATCCTTTTTTTTCCTCATCCTCACTCTTCTTTTTCTCTCAAGTTCAAAAAGTCCCCGAGCATGATATCTCAGGCCTCAAGGTTCAGCGCCTCGGGACGTAAAGTGCCCCTCCTCGAGCCCCGCACACACAAACCCCACAGAGGCCGCAGTGGAGTGGTCCAGCAACACAAAGTATCCTTCCCACTCACAGTGCACACACACACAATGACAGTCTCACATGCTCATGTCAGAGAGGCACTACAGCATTCACTAAAATGTACACTAAGTCACACACCTACAGAGAGGACAAAGAAAAACACAAGAACAACGGGATACCAACAGCACACAAAGCACTCACAGTACACCAATCACAGCTGCCACTCCCATCAGAGAAAAACATTCACCCACACCAGCACATCAACTCAACCCCAAAAAAGAACAACAGAAAAAACAGACCCATTACGTGAAGCCGAAGCGGAACAGTCTCAGTCCCTCCCCGCAGGCTGCAGTCACTCAGGCAAGCCACACAACACACACCACAAGAGCAGAAATATCTCCGTGGCAATGCCGTGTGAGTGACACCACCGAGAGAGAAAGTGAGAACAAAGAAATGTGTTTTCATTACGTGGGTGGTGTGAGTGGCAACCCAAACACACGAAGGAACACACAACAGATGGACACACTCAAACACCTACAACCCACCAATCCTTATACCAAAATAAAAATGTAAAAAAAGTGAGTGACTGCGTGAGGCAGACACAATAGTAGAGCAAAAATGTAAAAAAAAAAGAAATTCATTACTTACTGTGGCTGGGATGCCTGGACACAGTCCAATCCACCCCAAGGTTAACAACGGAAAATCATTTCCTACTGAACCTGCCGTGCCCATATCTTTATTCTTGATGTCCGTGCAGCAGTTTGTATATAATGAAAAAAAGAATCATTTCACAAAAATGAACACACAAGACACACAAGGTGTGTCGGAGACGCAAAAGAGAGAAACACACAGCTGCACATAATGTGCAATGAAATTATAATGAAACACACACAAGGGAAAGCAAAATAATGAAAACAAAACAAAAACAAAGCCGTGATCACCATGTGAATATGTTCAGGAGGCAATAACACAATTCCCTGCAGTATGTGTGTGTGTGTCTTTCGTACAGGGCGAGCAATGGGAATGATGCACACATGATGACAGTCCACACACACACACAAAGAGAAGGAGGGTTGGTAGTGTGCGTGTTCGTGTGTCTTGAACCCCCTGCCATTCTTCACATTTCAGTCACAGCAATTACAACACATTGGGATTGTATCCCATTCCCATGGGTAAAAGCAATAGTTAGTAATATCACGGAACACACACACATACATCACCAGGAGAACACAGTAAATGGCGGCAAAGCAGAGCCCAGACAATAATGCCAACAAACAAAGAGGACACTTCCCTCACAAAATGATGGTTTGTCATGTGATGAGTGCCATACGGCATCCAATAGATGTGTCCAGTAAAGAATGCAAATAAAAGATTTATCGAACTGAAAAAGAAAAAAAAGAGAAACATTAATATCCAACCAAAAAGAACAATGCCCTTACAATGTATCCACATCCACTCAAATAAAGGTTAACTGTGTAACTGTATCATGGGAACACCGATCAGCACACGAGAGTGGAGCCCAGCACACACAACAGCAAAACAAGCAGAATCAAGGGAATGTGCATCAATGCAGGACTGACAGCTCCGTCCTTCTTTTTCTTGGCCTTTTCTGCTGCCTGTCGCGCTTGTTCTTCCCTGGCACTTTCTGCTGCCTCTTTCGCCTTTTCTGCAACAACTCTTTTTGCCTCTTCTTCCGCAACCTTTTCTGCCGCCTGTCTCGCCTTTTCTTCCTCGGCCTTCCTTTTTTTTTCTTCTTCAATTCTTTTTGCTTCTTCCTTCGCTCTATCCTCCTGCTCCTTCTTTTGCTTTTCAGCCTGTCTCTTTTCTTCAGCTAACCTCTCTTCTTCAGCTTTTCTCGCTTGTTGGATGCTCAGTAAATTCGCACCCCTTTCCTTTTTCAGCTTTTCCGTAATATCCTTAATGACCTTTCTATCCTCGTCACGGGGATCCTCTTCTCTCATTATACTCACTATGGTGTTCATGGTGTCAGTCCTGGCGGCATCTCTAACTACCTCGACTTCACTCTTGATCACCTCGATCTTATTTTTATCGGGGCTCTCTTGTCGCTTCTGTAGAAGATTTGCAATCGCAACATCAATACGCCCAAGTTTCATTTTTGCACCATTCATCGTCTTCTTTACTGCATCCACCTTGGCGTCGGCATCCCCCACAACAAAGCGCGTACGCACAACCAACCAAGTGAGATTTGCCCTGACCATATCCAGTTCTTTGTACGTCTTGCTGCTGTTTTTATTAAGCTGTATTCTATCCTCCGTCTCGAAAGTTCTCTTGTATTCCTCAAGTGTATGTGAATAATAAGTTTGCGCACTGTGGAGCTGCTTCAGGACGTCGTCCACGTTACCAAGCGTAACCTCACAAAACTGACGCGCAGTCCTCGTTTTTCTGATTGCCGATACCGTCTTATCAACTGCATCATGCGTCTTTCTTACAGTTTCCTTTGCTTCCCCCAGCAATTTTTGAAGCAGATCCAATTCCTCACCATTCGCAGGGGACGTACTGTTCAGTGTGTCCGTTTTCTTCTCGATCTCTTCAATCTTGCCATCAAGGTCGCCAGCTTCCTCAAGAACAGACTTGGCACGCCCATAGGTTTCGTTACATTCGTTCAACTCCTTCTCCCACACAGACAAACAACTCCTTCCATCCGCAAGCAGATCGGCCGACTGCGCCGCCCACATCTGCAACTTCCGCTCCGCTATCCCGAATTCGCCGCCCGATGGATCCGTCTGTTCTTCTTGGGCGTGCACGAAAAACACACAACACTGCACAAGTACCAACAGGTACACCACACCACGCAGTTGGACGAACATCTTTGCCATGATTGTCACTGTGGGTTGCTTGATTCTGTGGTAACAAGGAAGAAGAGGAAAAGGAGAAAAGAGACGCACATTTAACACACACGGCAGTGGGTACACA